GCATCGGTCAAGCCTCTGCGTTGCTTATAGCACCCACTCTGAGTGCCCTTGCAGTTGCGGGGGTCTCGCGACCACGCATAGCAGACCATTATGCTTCGACGCTGTCGCGTGGCTTCCCACTGGCCCCTCGTCCGCGACTGCGTCGCATTCGAGTTGCCGAATTTGTTCGACGGGGTCGAGAAGCGAGGCCAGCCGGAGGATCTGTTGACAACTCATACCACTGCATTTCATACTCAAGCCTAGGAACCTGTCGGATCTGTTCATAGAAATGCGCGCGCATTGAAGCCTTCATTTCATCCGATGATTCCCTGGCGCCGTACAATTCTTGGCACCGCCCCATCCATTCGCTACAGAAATAATACAAGTCCTGATCAGGATTTTGTCGATCGATGGTCAGTTTGAAGAGGTCTCGACATATCCAATGCTGTCCGCTCTCCGACCCGACAGAACACCAGACGTAAATGGCTCGCATCATCTCTCGGCCCGTCAGGAGACGTCCTTCTATCTGACACGAATGTCCTATGCGATTGATCTGCGACAGGAAATGGGCACGTTGCACTGACAGACGCTGGTTACGTTTCATCTTCGCAAATTTCAACAGCACGTTGGTAGCGATCATCATATCAAGGCGCACCAGTGCCCCTGAGTCCCTGAGATTCTCCTTGGGCACATCAGCGCCCATTGCTTCGCAGACCCATGTCTGTGCCGTGTGAATGTCATGCCATGATCCAGCTACCGTCATCATGCAATGTTGCCCCCATTCTCGGAGTGTCTCGACACGCGGTATATCAAGCAAGTTTAGTTCTCCATTTTTTCCAAAACTTATCCACTTCATGTCCGTTTGGTTGGCGTGAAATGGCCACCATTCAGGGTCGTCGCGATCATTCGGCCCGCCGCCGCCATCTCCGCCCGGGTCGCCATCGCCACCCGGCCCCCCTGGAGGGCCTCTAGGCGGCTTGGACTTATCCGTCTCGTCAAACTGCGACGCGACAATCATCCCTGCGCTAGGGGCTGTGCTATGATCATCTGTTTGATCGTCGTCGTGGCCTCCCGGGTCTCCACCTCCTTCACCAGAAACGGATGGGCCGACGGTGAAGGGAGGGTGCCCGGGGAAGTCGAGGTTGTTAGGGTGATCCGATATCTTCGCAATGAAAGGGACGCTCCCAGGGCCCCCCCCTTGAGCGCCCCCCCGCGTCGGAGCTTCGCCTGCCCCCAAGGTCTCCTCGACAGCCGGCCCAGGAATGAAATGCGGCATTGCAAGAGGGGGCGTCGGTATCGACGGGGCAGGCAGCACCGGCACATTGCCAAGATCCGGTTTCTCTGATTTGAAAACTGGCATGCCCATGACATCGGCAAGATTGGTCATCTGACGTTCGGGCTCAACATCCGCAGGCGAGGCCGAGTGCCTTGGCGCCTTCCCATCAGGATCGCTGCCTGCGCTCTGAGCATCAGGTATTCCTTCGGTTTTCCTCCCTCTGCTCGCAGTCACCCTGGTCTCCCAACGGTTTTTCTCCAAGCACATTCATCGCAGCGTTTAGTACGCATGTCCAAGTGATCATTGCACGCGTGCTTCAAAGAACCCTTGCATACATCGGTCGAAAGCTGCGTGCAAATGCGACAGGCCTGATTCGGAGAGCCCAATCGCATTTGAACTCGCGACGCGCCAGGCGCCCCAATAGGGCGAGCAGCAATGGGGCGAGGAGGTGGCCCAACATGCGACGGCTGTGCCAGCGTTGACTCAATCTCTTTCTCGATCCGCCGTCGCCCAAGGTCAGACCTCAACCCTCTATTTTCCTCGCTCATGGTTCGAGCTGCAAGGACGTTGTTTCTCATCTGCTCTCTCGCGCGCCCCTTCAGACAGGCATCGGCCATTCTTTTATGGTCCTCGTCTCTGTTTGTTTGGGTCTTCTGTTCTTGATCTCTAAGGGCTCGCAGTGCCTCAGAGTTCACTCTTTCGGCCTCGAGTCTAGCAGCCTCCAGTTGATTGCGGAGCTCCTGATTCTCTCGCGCCGCCTGTTCTCGGGCTTCTCTCTCTCCTGCCCTCCTTGCAGGGTCAGCCATCTCTCTGCATTCAGCTTTCTCTCTTTCGGCCTTCTGCTCAGAGTCAGACACCAGTTTTTCCGCCACGCTCTGGATTCTCAATTTTTCCATCTCCTCTTGGGCAAGACGCTGATGTGCTTCGTCTGTAACGCCCGCTGCGTTGGCCTCAGCATGCTGCATCATCTCCTGCGCGTTTTCCACAATGATGGTTTTCTCATGCTCCATCCTCTGTGCAATTGCTTCTCTCGGCCTCGGAGACCACAAGCTGCCGTTGAGCCTCGTCGGCGGCATTATGATTTACCTGTGCCTCAGAGATAATCTGTTGCATATGCGCACTCGCAGCCCTCAGCTGCCCTCGATCCTGTTTCTTCCCGCCCACTCTTGAATCGCGAGATGATGGCAGTTGTGCTCTTCCATCGCGATGCACTCATTGCACAGCCACGGTAGGCTACATTTGGAGCAAACATTCGAGCATTGAGAACACACTAGTCTTTGACATGAACCCCCCGGTTTGCGCGCTTTCCCGGGACACCGACTCCACGCCCGAGCGAGGCACGCTGGCCCAGCATTCCAGCAGCCCTCCCGTATCGAGAAGCTGATGGTGGTTCTATTCGATGACACTCGCGGCGAATCAAAGGCGTTAACTCCTCTGGAACTGGAACGCCCAGCCCTGGGGGGCCTTACTGCATCGTCCCCTTTCGCTGCTTCGGGCATGTGTGTGTTGTTCTCTCGCTCTTACGCCCCTCTTGATAGCGTCAACGTCCATGCTCATTGCCAGGTCGTCTGGGCCGTCCTGCATGACGAGCTCATCGAGCTCTGGTACTCTATCTCTGTTTGTTCTGAGCAACGAGAAGTCTGGTATGTAAAAAACCTGCGATAAGGGCGGGGTGTTCAAGTCGCCATTCTCACCCTTCGATTTCTTCGTAAGCGGGCGCGGGGTCATGCCTGTAGCTTCTTGCGTATTTCTCACCGCACGCATTGCGTCACGGGAGCTCGATATGGGCTGCGCCGACGAGCATTCACCTTGATTGAGGCTTCCTCCGTCTCCACAGTCATCGTCCGAGTCAATGTACACGGTCAGGAGCGAGACCGAAACGCAGATCAAGGAGAGGCTCGAGATGACGCGACACACCCGGCGAGGTGTGAAACTGGGCAGATTCCTCGTTTTTGATATCGAGTGGGAACTGTCCCCTTCAGACTGTAGGTCGCTCACATCCTCACTCTGTCCAGACAACGTATATTGCACCGCATGCTCGGCGCGCAGACTTTCAGCGCCTGATGTGTCGATAGGGGTACGATCCAGCACTTTTTCCATTTCGAGATCAATGTCGATCGATGGCCGAAAGCCAGGGTGTAGCGACACCAACTCAGAGGGTCCCTCGGCAGAAATTTTGGCTGCGCCATACCTTCCGCTAGAGCGTTGCTCTCTGGATCTTGTCACTGAATCAACCAGAGAATCCCCTTCTGTTAAGTCGAACATAGTCCCTGATGCTTTCTTACTGGGAAGGTTAAGAGGGTTTGGCCACCTCGCTAAAGCGCTTATACTTGTGTTACGCTCGGAAGGCATTCGATTTTCTGTTCGCCCGAACGTTCCTTCTTGAGACCCCATGCTCTGCCAAGCGAACGGCTGTGCCGTCGCTTCGGCTGATAACCAGTCTTTTGCCTGGATATTCATAATCCCTGCAATATGTTCCGATGATATACCCTGGTCAGTGGCCTCCGCACATGACATGGGTAAGAAGCGATAACGCCGTCAAGCATACATTGAAGTAACACTGAAGGGAGGAGGCCGGCCCGCCGGCCGACGCACGCGCGCGCGCCGCAGGCTCGCTCTTTGTCCGTTTCCCTAGAGCCAAAGTATATAGCTGCGGGAGCAGAACAAGTCAGTACGGCAGGCGGACAGCGCGTGCAAGGAGAGAGAGCAAGCAGGGCAAAAGAATGGTGGTGCGGAAGGGGGGTGCATTGACTGATTCAGGATCGCCAGGACGCCACAGTCACGTTCATTCGCGGCGTTGAAGTCCCAGAAATGGTGCGCTGGCATGTCTGCTGGCTTTCAAACGGTTGTTTCCCAACGGCGCAGTTCCCGCATCGAGAGTAAATCCTTATAGGGGCCTTTTGAAGAGGGAATTTGGAGGGCGGGTGTATTGCAAAATCGTTGATGCGGGTTGGGTGCACCTAGCGAGCATGCCTAGCCTCTCTCACCTCTCATCTCTAGAAGTACACAATATGAATACTACTCTCCTCGCTCGCCAGGCTCTGTGCGAGCGGGGCCCCTTTGCTCCCGCATGCTGTGTTTCCAGCGCGCTGGATATCAAAAGATTCTCGGTTATACTGCGTGTTCGATAGGAACGCTGCTGGTATCTAAAGTGGCACTCCCGCTGCAGCGCTGACCTCATTCAAGGGTTGGCGCTGTGTTCCCGTCGTTCAGAATGGCGCTCCCGCCCCAGCGCGGCCCACGTTTCTGGATTCGAGTCCTTCCTTGAGGTTGTCGCCCCCCTCCTTTCCCCTCCGTGTGCCCCTGGTCCTCCAGCTCCTCCCGCTCGATCGCCTCCACCAATGTACACAGCTCCCTGTCCTGATTGCGCGTAACACGATGGTATCCTCTTGGGATATCTGGTTTCGCTCTGACACCCGACGGGAAGGGATTGGTGGGAGGGTTAGGATGTTAGATTTGAGATTTGGCGTGAGCGCACCTACCTAGCAGCTTTCCTCTCACCTGCTCCTCCTCGTCCTCCTCCTCCTCCTCCTCCACCTCCTCCTCCTCCTCCTCCTCCTCGTCCCTCCTCCCTCCTCCCTCCTCCCTCCTCCCTCCTCCCTCCTCACTCCTCCCTCTTCCCTCCTTCTCCTCCTCCTCCTCCTCCTTCTCCTCCTCCTCCTCATCCTCCTCCTCCTCCTCCTTCTCTTCCTCCTCCGCCTCCTCCCCTTCCGTCTGCCGTTCAGCCTCCCCCCCACCCGAGGACATGAAAAAGCCAGGTACAACGTCCGCGAGCGGTCGGGGGTGTGGTAGTACACGTACCTGCTCAGCGGGCCGGCTCACAGCCCAACCCCTTCAATGGCGTTTCCTCCTTCTACGTGAAAAGACAAGGGAAGAATGGGGAGAGAACGAGCAAGCAAGAAAGGGAAGGAAGGAGGAGATATTAGAGCTGAACAAGTGAAGGGAAGGGATGGGAAGGTACGCAGACCCCCCTCCTCCTCCTCATCTTCCTCCTCTCATGCAGCTGTCATATTCACCATCAGCAGCAGCAGCAGCAGCACTACCGACATCACTGTCATCGATAGAATGACCAACAACATCCGCAGCATCATCCTCATCACAATTATCAGCATCATCAGTAGCAGCATCATCAGCATCACCAGCATCATCATCAGCATCATCATCAGCAGCATCCTCATCATCAGCAGCATCAGCATGAGCCGCATCAGCATCATCATCATCAGCAGCAGCATCATCATCGTCATCAGCATCAGCATCATCAGCATCATCATCAGCAGCGTCGACATCGTCGTCATCGGCATCATGTTCATCCTCATCAGCATCAGCGGCATCAGCAGCATCATCATTACCAGCAGCAGCAGCATCATCGCTCACAACAACAAACACAACAACAACAACAACAACAACAATCATTTTACCCGAACGCTCAGTGTTCTCACCAGTGCCAGGGTTTTCATGCGACGCGAGACAATACCCCCACTTCGTGGGGGGGCAGTTCAAGCTCTACCAAATATCCAAACGACTCTTCGCGACCACCCAAACCCAGCTTCCCGCCCTATGACGTTGGGACACTTCACTTCGTGGCGTGCGGACGACCGTGGCTACTACACTGGCGTGGGGTACACACCCACAGAACTTGGTCACTTATTCGGGGCGCGCGTGTGCCCAGCATCCTGCAATTGTGACATACAATACATGACACAGACAGACAGAGAGAGAGACAGAGAGCAGACAGAGAGAGAGACAGAGAGAGCGGAGTTGGTCACATTTTTGGGGCAAGTTCCTGAGATCGTCGTGTTTTTTGTTGGTCTTGCGCGCGCGAATGTCCACTTTACTTTTTTTTGCAAGGGAGTATTGAAATTTGATTATGTTAGAACAAGAAAAAGTAGCTCGCGCGAGCTCATGTAACAGAAATGTTGAAAAACCATTGGTTTTGTGGGAGTCGGACAGCGCGCGCGGGATGAAATTTGGACATTTTTTTTTGAAAAACCATTGGGTTTTTGATGTTTTTATGTTGAAATCGTTACGGAACCTAAGGTTCTGGAAGGATTTCGTCTTGCGCGCGCGAATGTCCACTTTACCTTATTTTTTGCAAGGGATTATTGAAATTTGATTATGTTAGAACAAGAAAAAGTAGCTCGCGCGAGCTCATGTAACATAAATGTTGAAAAACCATTGGTTTTGTGGGATTCGGACAGCGCGCGCGGAAGGACATTTTGACAATTTTTTCTTAAAAAACCATTGGGTTTTTGACGTTTTTATGTTAAAATCGTTACGAAACCTAAGGTTTTGGAAGGATTTCGTCTTGCGCGCACGAATGTCCACTTTACCTTATTTTTTGCAAGGGATTCTTGCAATTTGATCAAGTAAGAACAAGAATTTTCATTTTATGGTGTTTTTTGCAAGGGAAAACGGATTACAACAAAACAACCGGATCCGGTGACAATCCACTTTTCTGAAGCTTTCGCTAGAAAATGAAGGAAATGAGGCTGCGGCCTAGGTTTTGGAGGGGGGTCGCGCACCAGGGGTCTCAACAATAATATTTCTTTAGAAGTAATAATATTCAACAACAATCAATTACTAGCACGTGGGGACACTCCGTTCTCACCAGTGCCAGGGTTTTCATAGGAGGCGGGCAATACCCCCACTTTGTGGGGGGGCCGGTTCAAGCTCTACCAAATTTCCATACGACTCTTCGCCACCACCCACACCCAGCTTCCCGCCCTATGACGTTCGGACACTTCACTTCGTGGCATGCGGACGACCGTGGCTACTATTCAGGGCCCCGCGGCCGACGACGACGGCGTGCGCGCGCGAAGAAAAAACGAATGTGTCCCGCATGGTATTATTTGACAGGGATGATGGCCCTGGCAGGTGCGCAACCGTTGTCGCAGAAGTTCGAAAAAGTTGCTCGCAAAAGCCCGTTTGACAGAAATGTTTAAAAAGTGTTGGGTTTCCTACGAATCCGCAAGAGCGCGCGGGATGAGATTTTGACATTTTTTTGTTGAAAAACCATTGGTTTTTTGATGTTTTTATGTTAAAATCGTTCCGAACACTAAGCTTTTGGAAGGATTTCGTCTTGCGCGCGCGAATGTCCACTTTACCTTATTTTTTGCAAGGGATTCTTGAAATTTGATTATATTAGAACAAGAAATGTCATTTTATAGTGTTTTTTGCAAGGGAAAACGGATTACAACAAAACAACCGGATCTGGACCCCATCCACTTTTCTGAAGCTTTCGCGAAAAAATAATGAAAATGTAGCTGCGGCCTAGGCGCGGCGGGGGGGCCGTGCACCAGGGGCCCAACAATAATTATTCTTTAGAATTAATAATGTTCAACAACAACAACAACAACAACAACAACAACAACAACAACAACAACAACAACAATCATTTTACCCGAACGCTCAGTGTTCTCACCAGTGCCAGGGTTTTCATGCGACGCGAGACAATACCCCCACTTCGTGGGGGGGCAGTTCAAGCTCTACCAAATATCCAAACGACTCTTCGCGACCACCCAAACCCAGCTTCCCGCCCTATGACGTTGGGACACTTCACTTCGTGGCGTGCGGACGACCGTGGCTACTACACTGGCGTGGGGTACACACCCACAGAACTTGGTCACTTATTCGGGGCGCGCGTGTGCCCAGCATCCTGCAATTGTGACATACAATACATGACACAGACAGACAGAGAGAGAGACAGAGAGCAGACAGAGAGAGAGACAGAGAGAGCGGAGTTGGTCACATTTTGGGGGCAAGTTCCTGAGATCGTCGTGTTTTTTGTTGGTCTTGCGCGCGCGAATGTCCACTTTACCTTTTTTTTGCAGGGGAGAGAAATTTGATTATGTTAGAACAAGAAAAAGTAGCTCGCGCGAGCTCATGTAACATAAATGTTGAAAAACCATTGGTTTTGTGGGAGTCGGACAGCGCGCGCGGGATGAAATTTGGACATTTTTTTTTGAAAAACCATTGGGTTTTTGATGTTTTTTATGTTGAAATCGTTACGAAACCTAAGGTTCTGGAAGGATTTCGTCTTGCGCGCGCGAATGTCCACTTTACCTTATTTTTTGCAAGGGATTATTGAAATTTGATTATGTTAGAACAAGAAAAAGTAGCTAGCGCGAGCTCATGTAACATAAATGTTGAAAAACCATTGGTTTTGTGGGATTCGGACAGCGCGCGCGGAAGGACATTTTGACATTTTTTTCTTAAAAAACCATTGGGTTTTTGATGTTTTTATGTTAAAATCGTTACGAAACCTCAGGTTTTGGAAGGATTTCGTCTTGCGCGCACGAATGTCCACTTTACCTTATTTTTTGCAAGGGATTCTTGCAATTTGATCAAGTAAGAACAAGAATTTTCATTTTCTATTGTTTTTTTGCAAGGGAAAACGAGCGTCAACAAAAAACCGGATCCGGACACAATCCACTTTTCTGAAGCTTTCGCGAAAAAATGATGAAAATGTAGCTGCGGCCTAGGTTTTGGAGGGGGGTCGCGCACCAGGGGTCCCAACAATAATAATTCTTAAGAAGGAATAATGTTCAACAACAACAACAACAACAACAACAACAATTACTAGCACGTGGGGACACTCCGTTCTCACCAGTGCCAGGGTTTTCATAGGAGGCGGGCAATACCCCCACTTTGTGGGGGGGCCGGTTCAAGCACTACCAAATTTCCAAACGACTCTTCGCCACCACCCACACCCAGCTTCCCGCCCTATGACGTTCGGACACTTCACTTCGTGGCATGCGGACGACCGTGGCTACTATTCAGGGCCCCGCGTCCGACGACGACGGCGTGCGCGCGACCCCGCTGCAGAGCGTGCGAAAGTAGCTCGCGCGAGCTCATGCAACATAAATGGTGGAAAAGCTGGTCGCGGCCTTGCATTCGGACCAGACGCCGCGGTGGTAAGGTGAAAAGTCGTGGCAGTGATTTTCGTGATTTCGGACATGCGATTATCGTGTGAATTTCGAGGGTGCGCGGTGCTAAAATTCCTTAGAAACCCAATGGTTTTTGAAGATTTCGGCGTGCGCGCGCGAAGAAAAAACGAATGTGTCCCGCATGGTATTATTTGACAGGGATGATGGCCCTGGCAGGTGCGCAACCGTTGACGCAGAAGTTCGAAAAAGTTGCTCGCAAAAGCCCGTTTGACAGAAATGTTTAAAAAGTGTTGGGTTTCCAACGAATCCGCAAGAGCGCGCGGGATGAGATTTTGACAGTTTTTTGTTGAAAAACCATTGGTTTTTTGATGTTTTTATGTTAAAATCGCTGCGAACACTAAGGTTTTGGAAGGATTTCGTCTTGCGCGCGCGAATGTCCACTTTACCTTATTTTTTTGCAAGGGATTCTTGAAATTTGATTATATTAGAACAAGAAATGTCATTTTATAGTGTTTTTTGCAAGGGAAAACGGATACAACAAAACAACCGGATCTTGATGACATCGTATTACCTGAGGCTTCCTCACGAAAATGATGAAAATGTAGCTGCGGCCTAGGCGGCGCAGGGGGGGCGTGCACCAGGGGGCCCAACAATAATTATTCTTTAGAATAAATAATGTTCAACAACAACCACAACAACAACAACAACAACAACCACAACAACAACTACGACCACGACCACAACCACTACAACAACAACAACAACAACAACAACAACAACAACAACAACAACAAAAACAGCAGCAGCAGTCAGCACCACCATCGTCACCGTCAGCGTCATCATAGCCACTCGAACTCCCCCATTCTCCCGCGCCCCGCCATCACTCCTCATCACCCCGCAGCCGCCCTGCAACGCAGTTCTCCCGTCTTGCCTGCCTCCTCCTCACCATCCTCCACCTCCTCCTCCTCCTCCTCCTCCTCCATCCTCCCCCTCCTCCTCCTCCTCCTCCTCCACCTTCTCCTCCTCCTCCTCCTCCTCCTCCTCCTCCTCCTCCTCCTCCTCCTCCTCCTGCACCACATTGTGCGTCCTGGTCTCCACTGGAACGGGTGCGGCCGAGCTGGAGGCCCTCCTCCGCGGCGCCGCGCAGCGGGTGGACACGGCGGCGCTCTCGGTCGCCAGTGCTCAACACGGCAGCATCGACGCGAGCCAGGAGCAGCACGACGAGCTCGCTGCTGCAGCCGACCGTCTCGCCGAGCTCCAGGAGCAGCTCGCCGCCGCCACCGCGAGGGCCAAGATGGCACTAGAAGGCACTGGAATTGACACGCTCCCGCACGCGCCGCTAGTCGACGACCGCCCTCCTGGTGGGGGAGCCGCGGCGCCCAGGTGGCCACCTGGCCCATGGGCGGACGCGTTCGTGGCATACGACGACGGCGTCGACGGCTTCGTGGAGCTGGAGACCGCCGTCGGAAGGAGCAGTGGGGCGCAGCCTGGCGGTCCCCAAGCCCAAGCGGCCCCCGCCGCTGCAGTCGCCCGCGCCCGCGACCTCGCCCAGCTCTTCGCCTCCTTCGCCGCAGAGGCGCGGGGCGGCTGATCACCGCGTGGACTTTGCCTGCGTCTTGGAAGCGGATCCCGCGGGCCAAGGTCGGCGCGGGCAGAGCCTGGGGTTAAATCCAAGGTCGGCCTTCGCTCAGGGAAGGATCCTGAGGGGTCCCCGCAGTAGAATTTCACGCATGGACCTTTGGGGTCGAGTCTAGACTCCTCCTACTCCCCCCCTCCCTCCCTCCCTCCCTAAAACCCCCGTAATGAGCATGATCCGCTTTGCGGCTCCTTCTCTCCCTGCCCCCTCCCCCTCTCGCCTCCCCACCCCATCTCTTTCTCCCTCCTAACCTCCTCGTCCTTCTCCTCCTGGCCTCCTCCTTCCTCCTCCATAATCCCCTCCTTTCTCCTCTCCACCTTGTCCGCATCCGCCCCCCCCCTGCCCCTTCCTCCTGTCCTCTTCTTCTCCTCATGCCGACTCCTCCTGCCTTCTCCTCCTCCTCCTCCTCCTCCTCCTCTTCCTCCTCCTCCTGCTCCTCCTCCTCTTCCTCCTCCTCTTCCTGCCTCCTCCTGCATCCTCCTCCTCCTCTTCTTCCTGCCTCCTCCTGCCTCCTCCTGCCTCCTCCTGCCTCCTCCTGCCTCCTCCTGCCTCCGGCAGTGCGCGTGGCAAAAAAGTGTGTAGCCTCATATGACCTCTGAATACTTCCAGAAGCCTTTTGGGAGGAGAAGGAGCGCAGTCTACCGTTTGTCAGTCGCAGCGGCATCCAATATGGTGGCAACACACTTCTACGATGAGTACCCCCACGGCAACTGAAGCTCTAGGATGCTTCCCGAGCGAGGCTACTGGGCGGTGTAGGCGAGTGCCCCCCGAGCTTGTAACTCATATGTCAGCTGCGAACCAGAGAACACAAAAACAACAACAACCTCAACATCAGCATCAGTATCCGCATCATCATCATCATCATCATCATCATCATCATCATCATCATCATCATCATCATCATCAGCATCAGCATCAGCAGCAGCAGCAGCATCGTCATCAACATTAGTATCATCAGCAGCAGCATCAACAGCATCATCATCATAATCATCATCAGCATCATCATCATCAGCAGCAGCATCATCATCCTCAGCAGCATCACCACCGCCACCACCATCACCATGATCATCATCAACACAAGCGAGCATCATCATCCGCAGCATCATCAGCAACAGCATCATAATCTACAGCATCATCATCAGCAGCACCATCATCATAAGCATCATCATCATCGTCAGCATCAGCAGCAGCAGCATCATCCTCATCATCATAATCAGCATCAGCATCAGCATCATCATCATCATTATCATCATCAGAATCAGCATTATCGTCATCATCATCAATCCCATCACCATCATCAGCAGCATCAGCAGCAGCATCATTATCGTCATCACCATCGTCATCATCATCAGCAGCAGCATCAGCAAAATCATCACCCTCATCATCATCATCACCATCATCATCACCACCACCGTCATCATCATCAGCGAGCATCATCATCTGCAGCATCGCCATCATCATCATCATTACCCCCTATCACCATCATCATCATCTCCATCATCATCTCTTCCTTCTTCTCCATGGTCAGCACCGTCATCATCATCAGCAGCATCATCATATCCTTCGTCATCATCGTCATCGTCATCAGCAACATCATCGTCATCATTATCCGCGCGCCGCATCTCATCAGCATCAGCATCATCATGGCCCCATCACCAACATTATCATCAGCAGCAGCGTCATCATCGTCATCATCATCACCAGCATCATCATCATCAGCATCATCATCACCGTAATCAGCATCATCGTCATCGTCATCGTCGTCATCATCGTAATCACCATCATCGTCAGCATAATCATCATCGTCGCCATCCTCGTCGTCGTCCCCGTCGTCGTCATCGTCACAACATCATCATTAGCATGAGCCGCGCGCGCGGAGCCGCGGCGCGCCCGGAGACGCCGCGCAGCAGGACTTTATTCTCGAACTGGAGCTGGGCGTGCTCGCCAAAACTCTCCAGCCGGTGGTCCTCCAGCGGGGCCGCTGGGCGCGCAGACGACGACGACGGCGGCGTCGACGACGACAACATCGACGGCCGCCGTCGTCGTCGGGGATGCGGGGACGAGGAGGGGGGAGGTCCTCCTCCTCGTCCTCCTCTTCCTACCCCCCTCACTTCCAGAACCTTTTCCTTATAGATAACCCCCTTGGGGCGCACCACAAGACGTGTCGGTAGGGCGAGGCAGGCGCTTCGCCGAAGACTTGTTCGACAACTTATGATCCTTCCGTCTGGTAACATCAACAGCTGCATTGATGGAGGGCGGTACCTTTTCAAAACGGGGGCTTCACCGTGGCACTGCGCACATTCGTTGCAAAAGCTTTCAGTGGCAACAAGCATGGAAGACTGTACCTTTTTCAGACTGCACCTGTCGCCTTAGCCCTGCGCGCGTTCGGCTTAAATGCTGGACACACCGGAAGGATAGAGAGCAGCTGCTTTTCAACATGAGGCTCCCGCTTCTTAACATGGAGCAGCGCGGGTGCAAGGCGTTCCAAAATGGTGCTCTCGCCTTAGCGCCGCGCACATTCCTCCCAAAACCTTGCAACCCTTACCAGGATGGGGGCCTGTCCATTTTCTCGCTGGGGCTCTCTCGTGAGACTGCCTCAATCCTTGAATTCACTGTCTCGCTCGAGACCCCCTCAAGCTTGGAAACCCGCGAAAGCTGCACGGGTGGAGGCCGCTGGCCTGATGCTTGTGCAACGGGAGTGTGGCCTTGCGCAGCAGTCGCTTGGATGAGGGGCGATCATGCTCCAAACAGGGGCACTCCTTGGACACCTCGCTGAGCTTCGTGGCCTTGCCTTTTTCGCAATTATTGTATCACTCGCTGCTGGGGTACGCTACCTTTGCCTCTCAGAACAGTGCTCTGGCCTGAATGGCAGCGTAAAACGGCGCTCGTCTTTCGAATGCTCGTTTCGCGCAGCGTAGAAGGGAAGCATGTGGGGAAATATGTAAGAAGTAATGTGGGACGGAATGATGTGTGCAGCATCGTTGATGCAAAATGGATTTGCTCTGAACCTCCTCCTCCTCCTCCTCCTCCTCCTTCTCCTCCTCTCCCTCCGTCTATTCCCCCTCCTCTTCCTCCGTCTCCTCCCCATCATCGTCATTTTCCTCCTTCTGCTCATCCTCATCCCCCTC